TTGTGAGTAATTAAGTGTTGCTCATAACCGTTCTTATGTTCTCGATATTTGCGCTTGCACATACATTTTTATATTATACATACATATTTGTTTCTATTTTATTTCACTTATTCAATGTACGTTTATCTGTTAAAACTCAAAGCATGGCTCAAAGATTAAACAGCATTACATTCTGTTGAACGTTAGAGGTTCTAGGTTCGACTTCGATAGGGAGGTAGGGAAACATAGAAACTAATCTACGATAAATCGATCAGTGAAACAGACATAGAAATGTGTTTGCCCCATGCCCAAGTTAGACACCAATCATGCAAGTGACTATATAACTCAGTTCAAGCAGGCAATAAAACGTGTGTAAGCTTTATCTACGTACAAATAGTTCGTATCTAGCAATTAGCATAGCAGCTTTATCTAGAAGGCGCGTGAGCTCATAAACCTGTCAACCGAGAACATAACTCAATTAGTCCACAAATCATCTTATCAGCTCAGATAACGTTTTATGCCTTTAGCTTCATATTTCTCGCCTAGATGTGTAACCGTAACGGCCTATAATTACTGCGTTATGTAATGCGTGACTCAGTGTTAATACAGCAATTCTATACTGAATGTTATGAAACATCTACATCTTAGTCTAGACTGCCTCTGCGGTCTTGTGGTTAGTGAACGCGACTGCAGTGTACACTGTCTTGAGTTCGAATTACGAAAACTTTATACGAAAATTTCTAAATATAACACTCTCAACGGTATAAAACACCAAATATATTATCTAACTTATTTATAATTTATGTTAACAATGGGCAGACGTTTCGGATGCTTTGTAGCAGTCAAGGGAGGCGTAGTCCCATTAGTACGTTAATTTATATATTTTGCGTTTTAAACTGTTAAAAGTGTTATTTACGTGTGTACTACTCGCGTAAATTACAGACAGTACTTTAGAATATTTTATTACCAGCTAGAGTTAAGTTCGTTAATGAAATGATAGCATGATGGACTTGTTCTGAAAATATGAAAACCCCCACCCCTAAAACGACAGCGTATCTCGTTTAGATGTTGAGATATTTTCATCTACCATCATGTGAACCCGGTGCTCTTCTGACCTCTATCATAAACAAAGATTGGAAGTAGGAACTGTGCTCATCCTCATGGTAATTTAGTGGAGATAGTCGTTAAAACCCACCATTTCGTAATTGACGCTTTGACGTGCCCAGGTGTGGATGAGTAGGTTCATACGACTACTGAGTTTAACAAACTGAGTACTTTTAACACAAACACAAACACAAAATCTATATACCTACATGTTTCTAAAAATGTTCTTAATAATACAAGTTATAAAGATAAGTTATTCCTACAAGTTATGGAGTGCAATGGGCGGCTATCGCTATAGAGCGATCTCTTCCAGGCAACCCTTGTGTAAAATAAAATAAGACATATTATGGGAACGTGCAGGTCATGCGAAGCTGAACAATACACAAAAATAATTTTAAATTAAAGAGCTGTACAATGCATCTCCGACCTTTACGTATCTAACAGAGTTAGATATTTAACTTCACTTGATTTTTCAGCTCAAACGGTGTAGGTAGGCGTGGTGATTTTTGATTATCTTAAAGATCCTCAACTTATGTTCAAATCAACCTCTAAAGTTTCCTTCTTTTTTAAAAAAAGTTTGTTTTAGATTTTTACAAGTTTATTGCGAACAATCAGTTGTGTAGGTACGTGAAGAAACGCAAAAAGAAATAAGATTCCAAATACGCTCTTTACCAGTACTTTTATATGTATATAAATGAAACAAATGTGTCGGAACAAATAATAAAAATACCAGACCGGACTAATCACGAAATATCTCTTTACTGAGGTTAAACAAAGTAGAACCGATAAAATTTCATTCATAGAGAAAGTTAAACGATGAATTTTAAGACGTGACAAATAATCACACAGTATTTAGATAAAACAGTAGCTTTACGTAAATAGTAAAATGCCGTGTATTTTTAAGTAAGAATTCTTGTAAGCCATTAGGGTTGTCGCAACATAAGTTTTTTTAATAAGAATGCTCTCAAATTGTAAGATATAACTATATTAAAAGCTAAAATTAGACAGCTATAAGTAGGTACACATCTTTTGATATACATCCAATTGCAATCAAACTATTTTTATATTAATATCTTGTTACCCCAAATAAGATTACTGTATATTTTTTTTAATTTATAACTGTACCCACATAAACCAGGCACTACAATAATTTCATTTTATTTAATATTTTTATAAACAGGCACATTAAAAAAAATACATCTTTTTATAAAAAGTCGGTGTAGATGTAGTGGTAATATGCTGTTCTATAAAAATTGAATTGTGTTTGATATGAAACATTCGGCTTAAGTAATGGAAGAGAATTATTCCTTATCTTGATATATTGGTTCATTGATACAATTTTAAATAAAACAGTTTTCACGGTTTAAAATGCGAAAGGTATTTCTTAACTTTTTACAAATAATTTTAACTACAGTCTGACGTTTCATTTCGTTTAAAATAGTCAGTCAGTCAGTGAAAATAAATTTTAAAATAAGTTTAGGTACTAATACATTAGGCTTTTTAAACTGTTAAAGGCGTTGTATTTAAATGTGTACCACAGACCATACTCGATTTTCATCGTCCAAATAATGTTCTGAAGTGACAGCCCTGAAGGGGTGGTCTCCACAACGACAGCGCGGGATCGTATGGAGCCGCGTTTATCGGGCGACCGTCGCTATAAAATGTACCTTTTAATCACGGTACCTGCCGTCGGCACCTCTTATCGCGACACATTCTAGAAGAGTGTGCCTTTGTCAGGGCATTCCGGCCGCTTTCATAGCTCCTACCCGCTTATCTGATGTTTAGGTGACCACGGCTCTCCTTTCTTCGGGACGATTTATTTTAATACCATATAGATGGTTGCGAGTAATATTTATAATATACAGCATTCGCATCATGTTACCAATCGTTAGACCTTCGTTTCTCGTTCTCATGATGCTTAAGCGTTCTGTTTAGTTGATTAAAAATGGAAAATATTCAGTAATCACACAATTACTAAATTAGAAATCAAAAGATTTCAACCACTATAATATCTTGATTCGATTTATATCAATTGTCCACATCCCAACTTCTATTGATTAAATACGTCAATCAGCTATAAACCGTTATGAGCAGTGGTGGGCAAGATCCTCAAAAGTGAAAAACCCTTGACGCCTTATCCGATGGGATCTTCGGTGCCTCAAAGTCCGGTAGCGCAGCTCTAAGCGGACAATTTAATACCGCTCATAAACCGCTGAGGGGCGATAATTTCTCTTATTGTCTCGATAAATTAGCTTAATTAGGGTTAAAAAAAGTCTAGCGCGGTCGTGGGTGGCCCGAGTGCGTTTGGGACAGATGGGGTCTAATTAGCGAATGTGGCCACCGGTTTTGTCTTTGATAACAAATACCGTTAGATAGGTAATTAAAGCCCCAATATTTTTTAAGCAAAGGACGACTTCGTTTTTTGAGAGGCTTGCTGGTCCAACATACTTTCTATCAATTTATAATTTTTCCGGTATATTTTGGACTTTGGAAAAGTTGTAGGTATAGCAAATTGTTGGTAGGGATATTGAAATTCCTACCTGGGCACAAGTCACTGTAGACACAGAATAAGCCGTTATTATAATATATAATATTCATAGCCAAAATAGAGCGACGGGCCATCTTGGCTAAATGTAATATGGCTGCTTTATTTTATCTTTCATCCAATGAAACCCTATCTGCATCATTCTCTCATAAAAAATCCGGGTCCAAATTTACATAAAATTTATTAAAATATTATACTGCTATTGTTCATTAAGGTTATTTAAGTGTAAACAAAGATCTACGTAATAAAAAGTACTGCAAAATTTTAGTCCATTAGGTATATTTTTTGGACTAGACTAACTTGCGTTTTTACGTAGGTATTATTGATATAATATACATGTATGTACATATTTAACAGATCATGTTTGTCAGACGATTACATAGTTGAATGTCGTAATTTGAATAATTGAAATCAACTTCTAAATCTCTATAAAAAATGTCAAATGCAAAAAATCACAAAATAGATATAATGACAAAACTATCCATTTGCCTGGCCTACAAATATCAAGTTATTATTCTTTAGGTGTCTACGCAAAACTGCCAATTTTGCTTTCTAAAGATTTAGTACTTACTAAAAGAACATACTTATATGTTGAGAAAAACTTTTTAGGCTCCTAAGATAATGCTGCGCATTCAGTAATTAGTTACCTAAAATAATTTTAAAATCCAAATTACCAATCGTAGCGTTTTTTTTACATTGGTACAAAAAGATCTTACATTATGAAAAAGTTTACAAAAGTCTATTGCGAGTTTGTAGTTTCATGTACGTAATTTAAATAATTTGGATCACCAATTTATTCCACAAGTTCGTTTAACTTTACATATTTCAATAATTATTTATTTTTAGTTAGATTTTATTAACCTACCTACCTAACGACCTCTAGTGAGGCTTTAATATATTGTTATGTTTATTTAGCGCCATCTTTGAAATATTTGAATACTTTACTGAAATAAGTCTCTAAGCAAACCATTCAGGCGTTGGCAGTTTAGTTTATTTACAATAGATGGCGCTCAAACAAAATTTTTAATTGAATTTTAAGTTTACATTATTACTCACTCATTATTTTAAGTAATATCGTAGTGGTAAATTTGTTTACAAAAATAAATAAAGTTTGCGATATATGTATTCTGAACTTATTTCAAGTATATACTACATTAAATTTACTGTAATCTATCCTTCAATCAATAGTCTGTGGTCTCCATTCGTATGTCAACGTAAAAATTCTAATTTCTAACCGCCACAAAGTTTTAAAAATAAACTTGGTTTGATAATTCATAATTTCCTTATAAAATTTTCGGTTATTCTATTATATTACTTCGCTATCGTCCGGTCCGTATATTTGTCAGCGAATTTAATTAGGAAAAGGTGTAAAATGTCTCAACAACAAACAAAAAACTGCATTACTTTACGGGGCTCTGCACAAATACTTTGCGAATATTTGAGTAAGTAAATAATATTGTTTATTGAATTGTTCATAATAAGTTAAATTTGTTTGTAGAAATTGTGTGTAAAAACTTGTGTCAATAAGTATAAACCATGCCTAATGGGATATAATTGTTCATTTTGCTTTCAGAGTTTGCTGTTAATTCAGTTTTATTTCAAAGGGGCCTATATCCTCCGGAGACTTTCAAAGCCGAACAACAATATGGAATAACTCTCCTCATATCAGAAGATCCTCAAATCAAAAGTTTTTTAACCAACCTCCTGACACAGAGTGAAGGTAAACTATTCTCAGCCATTGTAATCTTAATTTTATGGATGGAAATGTAGATCATTAGTTAGGACTAATGTGTTATATTAATTATTTGTAAGTTTGTACCTAACTAACAAATAACAAGTCCTACATAATACAATTAGTATGATATAGTCCTATTATGCAGTTGTTGTTACATGTTCTGACTTGTTTGTATTTGCCTTTCAGAATGGATTATAAATAAAAAAGTAAGCAAGTTATCCCTTATAATACTTAATGTTGCAAACAAGGAAGTATTAGAATGTTGGGATTTTAATGTACAATATGAAGAGGGTGACGTTGCCTTATCCAAAGAGAAGAATGAAACAGTTGGGAGCAAAGATTTAAAAAAGATTAAACAAGAAATTCGCGATGTGATGTTACAGATTGCTGCTACAATATCTTATTTGCCACTTTTAGATTGTAGATGCTCTTTTGATGTGTTAGTTCATGCGAAGACAGATTGCGATATACCAGAGAAATGGGCGGAAGCCGAGCCAGTAGCCATTACTAATGCACAGAATGTGCAACTCAAATCATTCTCTACTAGTCTTAATAAAATGGAAACAATAGTCAGCTATAAACTTAATGATTAATTAGAAAACATGTTTATCTAATTATGATTAATTTACTTATACTTATTTTAAACTGTTTTATGTGTGCTTTGATACTAATAATCAAATTTTTAATTAATTGTAATAAAAATTTAGATTAGTAAGTATTTCTTGTGAATGTTTTCTATTGTATGTGCAACATAGTATGTTTGTTATTTTTAATTTAGTAATTACTGTGATAGTATGAGGGTAGTATGTCTTATCAAACATTAAAGATTTCATTCTATCCGCTTATTTGTGTAGTGTCAAATTCCAGATTCCATATTCATTTTATTATTAAACGCAGTAAGTTGTCTCATATAGAAGATGATTTAAATATTTTTATACTACTAAAACCAACACTAATTAATATATATTTTTTAATTTTTCCAGTATGACTATAAGTGAATATTGTTGTTCCACTCATTGATACGTTAAACATTAAGAATAAATCTCATTAGATTAAATGAACTAGCCTCTTTTTCATCATTTATTTAACAAGCACTTACAAAAATAGAAATACAGATAGAATAAATAACACATCCAGCAAATAATACTGTACAATAATAATTACAACTTAATTCTAACGAGATTACATGAGGTGGTCTTCGGCAAGAATTCTTTTTCATATAAATAAAAGACAAATAATTGAAATGGTTTTTCAGCGGCTCTTAAGTTCTGTCGGATACGAACATTGAATGTATTATAGAAGTATACAGGCAAGATAAAATTACTGTAATTTTTTTAATTTTGTGAAACGTTAAAAATGGTGGGAGTGTTTAGGTTCTATTTCTTAGTCAAATATTTTCTTATATTGTATACAGCACCATAATGGTGCTAGGAATTGCGTGGGTACTGCAATTAAAAATTATGTGGTAGCTGTCTAGAAACAAGTTACAAAGATCATACTCATTGGAAACTTAAGTAGTCCTGAAGATAAGTACGCTAACGTACAAATAATTTAACAAAATCTTAGAAATACTGTACAAATCATAACAAAATATGATACATCACAAAATTAACAAATCCTAAACTAATAAGGCAGTTAAGTTACCTATTAAGTTGCTTGGTTTTCGTCGTTCTTAGCTCGTAACATTTGTCTATGAAATGAGAATCTGAGGCGGATTAATTTTCATAAACGACAACAGCTACAGCAAAGTGTGGACTCGTTGTTTTCTTAAGCTACGAAGTCGACTTACTAATTTTTCCAGACTACGTTTGATATTAAATAATGTGTGGAAAGTAACGAGTTTTTAAATTAAACACTTTTAACGGTTTATAACTTGTTTAAAATTTATTTTAACTTTGGCTCGACGTTTCGGGTCGAATTCCTTACGCGATGAAATTGCAATAAAGAAACACCCAAATTTTAATAAGTCCTACTAAACGGCGTCACGATATTATACTTGTATTAGAATACATGGCATTAAAAACAATAGATTCTAAAAAACGGCATACTGAGAGAGAGGATAATCAATTCTGCCAGGACCCAGCTGGTTTTGCCAAATACTACCTACGACGAAACAGATGTCGCTAGCTGCTGTGTTCATCCATTTTCATTCCGTGAAAATGGAGGAATTGTTTACAAGTATATCTAAGACATTTCCCGTTTTAAACCGTTAAGAGTGTGTTATTTAACTGCAAAACTGGCGTAAACAACAGACATGAACATACTCAGTCTATGGCAAGACGATTTGCTGTATAATGAGCATTCAAAGTCCTTGTAATTTGTCTAATTTTTTAAATAACCCTATATTGAGGTACTACCAATAGAATTTAAGCCGGAAAAAAGATTTTGTTTAGTAACAAGTGTTCTGGTTATAAAATAATCTGCGACTTTTGCGTGCGATTTAAATCATACGTATTTTACTCTTTACGTTGTGTGCTTTAGTTCTGGTTTAATAATAATCTTAAACTACGGTTAATCGGGAATGATGAATGTCATGGGCGGTTCTCCATTCGTTCGTTCACCAAAGTCGTTCGCCGAGACCTGTAGAAAAGAATTACAACGTGAGCACCACTCGGTATCATATAAATTATTGAGGGAAGTCAATTAACATAAATATTTTAGGAATAACGATTTACTTTAAAATGGTATCGATTGTAAGAGAAGAGGGTTCCTAAAATATTTTAACGTAAAATCGACATTGAGTATCATGCACTGTTATTTTGTTATTCTCACAACAAATAGTAAGACGAGTCTACCTCTTAGAGTCCCATAGACATGCACGAAGCATGCTCCCAAGACATTAGTAAAGCATTAATTACAAATGAAAAAATGTAACAAAAAATGCCTAATACGAAAGACATGGCAACAACTAAACACGTTACATTCCTTCATTTCACGAAATGAGTGCGGATGAGAGAGTTAAAGTGCACGAAAAGAATAATTTTGATAAGAAATACGTACCATTTTCCATTATAATTCCATAGATTTTCAAGGGTGTTCGGGATAGTCCGAAAGTTTAATTAAAACAAAAGTTATCGCCTCAGTTAATTCCAACACTCATTCTTTTATTTGTAATTTGGTATCTTTGTTACATAACTAGATGTGTTGCTTAGTATTTGTTGTGAGAAAGTACAGTGACGTCATCTAGGGACTAAAGTATCGGGTTACTTGGTTACCAAAAGAATAGTAAAAAGCACGGGCGTGACGTCACTTCCCCTTAAAGCCCTATCTTCACATTGTTATAATAAATAGACGAATCTAATTTAAATATAAATAAAATAAAAGAACTTTATACAAATGAAACTATTAATATTAATAATCCATTCATCGCATAAGTAGATTCGGTCCCATCCCATACAGAAAAAAAGTTTAAATTATTGAAGAGGTAAAAATGTAATCGTTCATTCGTAGAGGCACACGTCAAATCTTTTACCACGTTTTAAATATTATATTATTCAGAATAACTGACATCTGATCTCTGACTAGGACTGCAAGAAGTTGAACTGATAAAACACTGGATTGAAACGTCAGAACATTAAATACTATTTGCAATAGAAATTTTATATAATCAACAGAAGCAGCGTAAATGGAGAGTTTTATCTGAAAACGATTCTAAATCTTATCCTATTAGATATGTACACAACTTCCAAGTCTCTTCGATCTGAATATTAAATACTATCAAACCTTACGTGTTAATAACAATACAATAATTTGAAAATTACAGTAAAATATGTACAACTTCGATAATCGGATAATTTTATTCTAATTCTCTATCGAATTTACCTAACTAGGCATTCGAGTGGCGCGACACCCACGGGCTTCACCGACGCTGGATAATTTCGTCTCTATAATATTATGTACGCATACTTAAAATATAATCTCACTGGGCCAGCTATTTAACTCTACATATTAATTTAAAGCTCTTCTAAAAAACTATGTCAATGGAACTAAAGTTAGAGAACCTTCTTGTTTTCTCGTTGTCTCTAGCGAGAGACAGAGTTTGCTTCGCTAAAAGCGGACATGCAAACAGCTGACCCTGAAAAACCTTTGAAAAGCGACAACACAGTCACACCAGTATTCATTGAATAGCTAACATAGTCTATGTGCAGTCTTAAAAGCTCGACGATCGATAACTTAATCTGTCAAGTCACTACTCTATCTTGACAGTGACAAATGTCACTGTCAAATAAACATTTTGGCGATAAATGGATCGGATAAGCGTAGCTGCAGCTGTAGATCTGCTAGGATCGGATATATTTTGTACAAAATAAATAGAGGTGGGAGGGCGGGCGGTAGATGTCGCTAACAGTAGTAAGACGTCGAGAGGCCCAGTTTGCATGTGTAGGAATGATACATACTGCTCCTATTCGACACGTCCTTGTTCTCACAGCGTTGACCGTTGAAGCCTTCTGGGCATCTGGAAATTAAATATGCACGATAAGTATATGGGTGACTATCACTACTAATATTATAAATGCGAAAGTAACTCTGTCTGTCTGTCCGGCTTTCACGCCAAACTACTGAACCGATTTAAATGAGATTTGGTACACAGATATTCTGGAGCCTGAGCCTTTACCTAGACGTACTTTTTAATGCCAAAAAAGGATTGTTAAGGGCTGTGAAAGTTTGTATGGAAATACGTGATTTGTGAAGCTAGAACAATGAACGAACTTTCTTCTTTAACTTTTTGGGAATAGTAGCGAGAGTGGGAGTGCTGTGCGGTGAGAGTTGCGGCAAAGTAAGACTTACGACACAGACAGGCTGCCCGTTTCGATGACAAACATTGTAAAACCTTATGATGAACGAATAAAAGGTAGTAAGGGGTATGAAAAGTTATGTTGATGTATCGTATTAATTTTTATAGAACTTACTAATTTAATAATGCGAAAGTAGCTATAAAAGTGTACTCAAATAAGCCTAAGCCTATAAAAATACACTATACCATGGATATACTTTTTATGAATACCTTATTAAGCTCTTTGCAGTGAAACATTGAACCTTATTGTGTACGTACGTCTTATTCAATTTGTTAATAAATAAATAAACAGCCTAAATAATTAATACTTCCACCTAAAGTTACTATTCAACGTGGACGAAGTCGCGGGCACAGCTAGTAAACAATATAAGCACATCGAAAATTATATAAGGTACCTCCATATAAGACAACGTATGTAAAAACAATGGCTACGCTTTGAAAAATCGCGTATTCCCAGTGAGCGCTTATTTTTCAAACTATTTCTAGTACTCAATATAAAAAAACTTACTTGCAAGCCTGTTCTTGCACAAGCTCGAAGAATAAACAAGTGCCTCCGTTGAGGCAGTAGGAAGAAGGGTCCGGCATCGGGCACGGCGCTCCCAGCATTGCTGAAACATATCACATACATATTATAAAAATCATAACTGTATTTCAACAAAGTATTGAATATTGACTGTAGGTTACGCGAACTTTTGACGGTATAAAACACGAAATTTATAAGATAAGTTATTTTTAACTATAATCCGAGTTTCAGGTGCTTTGCCCAGCAAAGCAATCCCTTTATTAGCGATAAATAATTTTTATACAGATTACAGTTAACCTGTTAGTTTCCTATCTTCTACAATAATAGAACTAAATTTATTTCGGTAGAATTTGGGTAAATTAGCAGAATGATACGGTCACTTTCCAGTTTGAATTACTTTTACACGTGCATTTGTTCTGTCTTCGAGGTAGCAAGTACAGGAATAAGCCTTACTAGTTTCCAGTGAACATTCTACTCTCGTATTCACGAATAAACAATACTCATATTCGTGCGGAGTCTAACTGATCGCTGAGTATTGTGATGTTCGCCGAAGCGACAATATTTCCCATATATTGTGTAAAGTGAACCGGTAAGTGCACAATGGCATAATGGCTCGCCGATTACCTGTTACTCGATACACTTTAATGACATAATTATAGCGAGGAAGAGTTGGAGAGAGGAGATTTTAAACTTTCTGGATTAATTATGAAATTGTCAGTAAATTTAGTGTAAATTACTAGATTGCCCATAATAATTGCGATTTTAGTTAAATAAAAATTAGAAATGTTAGCATATTTGGTAATTTAATCGCACATTTTATTTTATTTACTAACCTTTTAACAAACATATACATATTGGATAAAAAAGCGTGTACAAAACTCTGCCACCCTCATCTCGGATATTTTGTTATTATATTTTTATCATTTTAACGGTTTGTTTGTCATGAGCTTTTAAGGGATGACAAAAAATAAATATAAAATTTAACGTAGTATTTTAATATAACAATACATTATTAAAAAAAGACTGAATTTGATGTAAAAAATACTGAGTCACTCAGTTACAAGGTACTTTTATTGACTTGTTCTGAATTTAAATAAAACACTCTTAACGGTGTAAACGGCAAAATGTTATTAGTTAACTTATTTATATTTTATTTTAACTACGGCTCGACGTTTCGGATGCTTTGCAGTAGCCATGGTTACGATGGGTGGGTTAAAGATGGAGGTGTCCCTAATGTTAAAGCCAAATCCGATAAGCTAGCGCCATCTGTTACTTTGTGGTTGACATTTAAAGAAACTAACTGCGTCTTTACAGAACTGACTAACGGTGTCCTCTCGTTTTTCGAAATCGAGTGTTTTAAACCGTTAAATGTTTTTTCGTTAAGTAATACCAGTATACAGTTGAATTGTACTAAAATAAGCTGCATCTCACTCAAATAAGCACTAGAAGCTAAAAGGGTGCAAAAGAGATGTAACTCACAGGTGTCCGGCGCGGACGTGGTGGGCGACATGACGCTGACATTGGCTGAGGCAACAGCCGGTGGCCCCACGGCCCCTTGGGCCCGGCATTCATACGTCGCGGAGTCCTCCCGACGAGCGTGTCTTATTACTAGTACCGAGCGCCTTCTGAAATTCAGTTCACATCTATAAAGACACTTCCTTGACCTTTTTAAAAGAAAATCTTCTTCTTTTCCAAATAAAATAAAATAAAATAAATAAAATATAGAAACAAGCGTGTGCTTTCATTGACGCAAAGTTAAAGACTCAAGCTATATAAAACTTAAACAAGATACCCTATGACCTTGGACATTCGGAACCCCACAAACTTAAACCGAAACATCACGGCCTTTTCATCTGGATGGTTCGACGGAAATTCGAATATTTTTCTGAGAAATTATTAACTGACTAAAAGATGTCGGACACGGTAGGATGAACCCACGACCCATTGATTATTATGCATATTGAAAGAAAGAGACTCAACAACGTAACAGCATTAATATTATTGCTGCGCTGGTCAATGCCGTGTTTCAGTTTTACAAGTATTGGGACCCGACAGATACAGACTGTCGGGTCGCCAAAAACACCAACAACATTGTCTTTGTAACATTATTTTAAACTTCCATCGAACTCATTTAGCCCAGTCGAGCCTAGCAAGTCCTGTAATGTAAATGCAAGATGTAACGACCCGTGAAATGCAATTCGCATCACTTCATCATAATTGCCCCGTAATTGGGTCTTCTTTGCGACTACGCTGCGAGTAATAAAAATGATTAGGGGTCGTGTAAACTGATTTGATGTTTTTTAATGTTGGATAGAACAAGTAACGTATTTCATAAACTAAATTTGTAGTAGCGCAAAAAATCTAAATATTTTACATTTGAGGGTATGACGCCGTTTTCTTCTATAATAATACAAATATCTAAAGCCGAAATAGGTCTACAGGGCACCTTGTTAACATAATACCCCCCTGGGCCGCCCACACGCGAGCGTCTCGCCCCAACCCGAGATCGTGCCCTAGGACTAGTCTCAAAAAAAAAAAAAAATAATGAATAGTTCGGGTATTTACCCTTCTATCGTGAACCTAAGATAAGTTTAAGTTTATCAAAAAGTTAGTTAAAATTTCATTGTGAACGAGACCTTAGGTCAATGACAGAGGTTTGTATAAGCCATTAATGCAGAATGCAATTGAGCGTTGCGCTGATGTAAGCACCATGTGTATGCCCATGTTTTTGGATCAAGATCGACTGCGCATTGATCTATTAATTAGGTCATCACCATTTACAATTAATGACTAATTCACCATTGTTCGTAGACACCGGGTAGGTTGATTAACTAATGATACGAAATTTGAGCTGTGAGTACTCGGAATGTATAAGGAGATGTTATTATATAAAAAAGGACGAAAAAGATTTACACTAATAGAATGCTGTTCATCCCATGAGAGCTAGCCAGCATTTGGTATTAGTGTATTGTAAAGATCATCTACATCGTAAGCCAATGCTTAAAAGAATAACAAAGATGTTGGTACTTATGAAATACTCGTGGAATGGTTATGTGGCTGCTCTATCTGTAGTACTATTCAGCTATTACCTGAAACTCTGCACCCGGAACCTCCTCAGGGCGATGTCGGAGACGGGCCTGCCGTCCCTGTACCATGAGATGCGAGGGGGGCGGGCGGGCGCTCGCTCGGCACTCCAGCTTCACCCGGCTCCCTCGCGTCGTTCTGACCGACTGCATCGGCTCTATCCTCGCGGGACTACCTGGGTGAATAGGCAGCTATCATCATTGGTTCGAAGCTTAGCTTAGTATTAACATAGTAATTTAGAGGATTAATAAGCATCTTATTAGCTTAGGCAGCGCAACTCCGAGATCATCTATAATCTCGATTTCGCCTGGTGCTGGGGGGCCTTGGAGACGTACAAACGTGAGGGCTACCTCGAAAGCCCCGTAACAGGCTGGCTGTGTGTTTAGTGTTTCTGATCGGATATTGTCTCTGTGCATTAGGCATTCGCTGTTTCAGTTTTCCGTTTAAAAAAGGCATAATAATAGCTTAGTAATTAAGGTGAATATCGCGATGAAATGTGTTGTCTTGTCTCTTATTGAGTGGCGTAGTGAAGTTCAGTGCAATACAATGACTACCCATATAGCTTAGTGATCAGCGTCAACGCAGTTTTACGTCTATCACAGTAGTTTAAAGGCATGGGATGTGGACGTATGCTGATTACTGATCACAAATGTATTTCAGTAGTTATCACCTGGTGTTTACATTAGATGGTTTTCATCTCGGCTCTCGACCCTTCGATTCTACTTGTCTAACTTGTCCCGTTGACTTTTCGTGGTGTTTTGTATAATTGCATTAGTTTCTCTCACAGAGAATTATTCGCACACAAACACTCGTCCTTAAAGAGGTGAAATTATTGCGGGCATTAATACGTCTTGACAATTAATCGTTTGCCAAGTGTCTTGTGGAAACGTAACGCGGTGTCGCCACGACAAAAACGCCAAATGACTTGCCTTTAAGAGTTTCCACCTAAAAATAACGTGCTGTCATTCGGCCAACGGCCTTATTATTTCTTGTGACGAGTTACATATGTGACATCAGAAATAGATATTATCTGTACTAAAGAAGACAGAAATGACGGTCTATAGAGCGCGCGTTTCCATCTTATCGTCTAACGTCTACGGCAAGTGGTTGAATCGTTCAATTGGCATGGCCAAACATTCAAAACAGCATTAGAATTCGTGACACTATGATTATACAACTTCAACGTATTATTTTTCATGTTTCATATCATCTACATTCGCCCTCTATCACTTATTGTTGATCTTGAAACGGGTGAGTAGGTACGAACAATTGGCTGCGTTACAGCTAAGAGACTTATTGATGTTAATTGTACGAACTTGTGATTTAAGATGTCGTTATTTAATTGTTTATTTAAGTTTTCTCGCTAAACACGCGAAAAAGAAAATAAAAGACGCATTTTGAAAAGATTTATTGCTCTAAAAGTTTAAAGTACACATAAAAGATTATATTTTTTAATTTTTGCAAAAAAAATCAAAGTTAAAGAAACTATAGTGTTGAGGGATTCCTAAATAGTATACAATTAGTGCTCTTTAAAAATATTGATATTACATAATTCTTAGAATGTGAAACAAAAAATTTCGGTGGGGAATTTTAAAGTTTAGGCACTTTTATAAACCTTTTATGTTGAGTTTGTTTTATTATAGTATATAACTTTATTACGGAAAATGGTAAAGCACGCAGGATTGTCTTTCTTTGTAACTTTTTGTGAGACAGTGATCATTTTGTTAGATCAATGACCAAAACATGAAGTACTCGCCATGGCTCTACACCTACAGGACATTAGTAAATGTGTTGTCGACCTTTTCGTTAGTCATTGACGCGTAGGAGAAGCTAGCGTCTGTTATGGCGATTTCAGTTCTGTCATAGATGTGGGCGGATCTATTGGCAGGGTCTCGGAAACCCACTTAATGGAACTCATGAATGAAATTGTGACGTCATCATTTGGCAGTTTATTCAAGTTCACTAATTCTATGTACGGCATGTCTATCGACGATTCCTTATTTACATACGCTTACTACAATCGTCAAACTGAGTATATTTAGGTGGTAGAACGACGAGATTGTCGCCATATAAAAGTAATCCGTTTCGAATTACCTAAGTCAACAAAACTAGCAAAAGTTTATATGTAATCCTCTCCATTTAATGAGGAGGCCAGAGGAGGCCAAGAGGAGGAGTTTCACATAGTTTTCGATAAAGCGCCCACTACAAATGCCTATAATAAACATAATATATAATCACGAATGAAAATGTTCTTTCCGTTCCGTTCTAAAAGTTGCATAAGGCAGACGTCCCCACATTTTATGAGACGCCAATTATCTGCAGTCGGCTCATTATAAATAGTCCACCACATCCTCAGGAAACGCTCAGGTGTGTTGGACTGTTGCCAGCCGAGTCCCTGGGCCTACTTCTTTCACCGAAAATAGGCAATAACAATTCGTCAGGTTTACGTTACCACGCTCCCTTTAACGCGTTAGTGACTGTTTTGAGTTAGTGATTATTAGCAAATAAAATATGTATAATATCAAACAGGATTTTAATTAATATAGTTTTCATATATTTTATGGAATAAATACTTTGTTGGAAAAGATTTGCTATGAGACAAGAGCTAATGGAAATATATATTTAAACTGATTAAAACACGGTTGTGATGGGGTAACTGGTGGCTGCTTAAAATCAAACGTCTGATTAAAATATTAGAATCAAATAAACAATTCTCGCCTACACTGTAAATTATGTCTTAGAGAATATTATGTATTGTTTTATATTAAACCCCGCTTACACGGTTCTGAAAAAATTTAGCCATACCTACATTGCTATGTATGGCTAAATTTGAAAAAATAGGTACACAATTCATTTAGGTTAGATAATATTAAGTTAATCCCATATTAGTCCTCCACTGTTATTAAAAGATTGCAAAGGACTATAAAATATTGATATTTCCACATCAGGCAGGTGTAAGTAAGGGTTATATAGCCTCATCGTGTGAGTTCCACAAACGATAATAATTTTAACGTCTTCATTCGCCCGTAACCGCACTTTATTGCTTTATCTTATCCACTGCAATAACAACACGGGAATAATTATTATAATCAAAGATAACCGTTTTGTAATTAAACTATACTTTTATGCCCGTATTATTTGTGTTATTGCGCTTTTGTCTGTAGCCGCTGTTGAAGCTTCGTTTTCTATTTTCTTTTGTAACAAAAAGTAAATAGATTTGTATTAGTGTATAAACGTCTTTCAATTCTCATTATGTTTCTTTAAATTAATTAAACGCAAGAACGGTCTAAATAAAAGCACATTTTTTAATGTTTAAGATTACTTAGGGATTTAGCTTTGGTATATTAGGAACACTCTCCAACGTATGAACTAAGACTAAACTCGTTGCTGAGAAGGACACGAACATCAGTTATAGCTAAAATAAGTTACCTTCGCGTTTTTAATAAAAAAAAGTATTTTATTTAAATAAGTTAAACTCTGTAAAAGTTATTGTGACAAAGTTTCTTTAACGATACAATTAATAACTGGAAATAGGAATAGACTATTATTTATAGGCAAGCCATGGATGATTCATATAAAGCGAACACTGAAACTCCGACGACTTAGATTGAATTATTGCAGAAAATAAAAAGAGTGACTCAACTTCTGTAAATGTGGATATAGCTGCATTGAGATAAATGTGCCAAACGGAATAATTGCATTAACTTGGCGTCGATAATTGCTGGTGAATAATTTTACGATGCTATTCAATCGAAGGTAAAAGGCCGAATAACATCATGAGAGAGGAGTTGCAATTAAATGTTAGTGAGTTTGTATCGTACCTCTTAAATAGATGCAGAATTATACAGTCCGACGAAACGAATTCAATCACGTGCGAGGCAAAAAGATCGCCAACAAACCGACAAACGAGAAAACAATAATTACCCGCGAAACCCTAATCCAGATAATCGAATCGTAAAAACAGAGCTAATCAACAGAATAATCGGAACGCGAATTACCGATTCAAATTCGAATGCGAAAAAATCGATTATTAAAAACCGTACGGCGAACGACGATGCAACTCCGAGTTTGTTTACGCTGTAGTACGGCGCGCGGGCGGAGAGCGCGGGCGGGGAGCGCGGAATTCTACTACTACGTCTGATGAGTCCGTTTTTTATCGCGTTCGGGTTTCCTTTTGATTCGCTTACTTTTTTCGTTAGCGCCCAGTTTGGCGCTGGCAACTCCATAAACAGTTACACTCTCGAGGCAACCCCGCCGGATTGTTTTTAAATGACGGCGCTGCGCGAGTGTGTGTGCGCGGTCTCCTATACTGCGCGCCTCGAATTTTAGTGCGCCCTCGCGATGCTCCCGCGTTTGACAGGAATGATGGTAATGAGATGGATAGTCCGCATTTTAATGGATGTCGAATTTTTCGTCAGTCGCTTAGATATTTATCCTAATGGCCTATTTGCATACCGTCGACGCAAAGAAATCGTGTTGCAGTTTTGGCCGCTCGGAATTTTCGGTCGGAGTACGTGACGAATGTAGCGGTTCTTGTTGCATATTCTGGAGTCCAATTAGATTTTTATATCGTCAAGGACAGCATTACAATAGCAATAATTATTCTTATAAGGACTTGAATAATTATTTTTCTCTAAGAATTAACTTTATCGATACCGGTCTTTGCCAGCAAATCAATGTTCGCCTCAATATTTTTTTCTTAGTGTTCTATTAAATATATCTATATTTATAGGTTTCCATATATTCAAAAAATTAAACTTGAATCTTAAATTGAGTAAATGTGGAGAAATGTAAAAACTCAAAGAATACGTCGAATTACGTGGAACCGCGACTCCGGCGCACCATAACTGATCGATCGGAGTGTAGTCGGCAAAATCAATACGATCTTTTGTTCATCCCCAAATGGCGCGGCCTTACGATAAGCGCATTGCCATATCCCATTCCCTCTAAAGACAGTAAAACGTACATTTATATTTTTTTCTCCTTTCTGTTATGTCTAAATTCAGATGTTCCTTATTCTACGCGTACTTTTTGCAATAGCTTTGCTCCTATAAAGCGAGTTATTCTGAAACTGTGTCTGTCTATAGTGCATGTTATGGACTATCTAAACCTTTGCGAAATATTAAAAAATACCGGTTTTCTGTGAACGATTTAATAACTTACCAAATAAAGCAACAATAAGCGTAAGAAGCATAATAAAACACAAAGTTTCGTGTAGTGCAATGTTTTCGCAACCGTGACATAATTTTCACTCG